TACCTATTTATACCTATTTCTCAATTTATTGATCTATACCTTTTAATACCTATTTATCTATTTTTCTATCTTTTCCTATTAAAATATATCTTTGTATCTCTCTATATCAATAAATACCTATCTGTGTATCTATCTATCTATCCTAGCTTGTGTCTGAGTATTGTATAATACACTTCCCGTCATTTGTGTATATTCTGTTCTGCTCTAGTTCTTAGGCTTTACAGGATATACCAGGAAATATCTAAAACTGAGTGATTTAATGTATATATATATACCTAGATATTTGTGTATTTGTATATTCTGTTCTTTTCTAGTTCTTAGGCTTTACATGGATATACCAGGAAATATTTAATGCTGGGTGTTTTAATAAATATACCTAGATATTTGTGTATATTCTGTTCTGCTCTAGTTCTTAGGCTTTACAGGATATACCAGGAAATATTTAATACTGTGTGTTTTATATATATACTTAGATATTTGTCAGTACACATCTAGCCTTCAGAGAAGCAACAACTAGCTCTGGTTCGGCGCTTCCAAAAGTAAGAGATACAGGATGAGAGAGAGATCATGGCAAACTAGAAAAACTTGAATGGAAAAGAAATACACGGAACTACAAGAAACATAAATCTTTTAATGCTTTATTAGCCTGAGTCTAAAACTAAAGAATGCGCGAATATTAAGTTCGAGGTTAAAAGTTCTGTAAAATATTGAATAGTTACTTAAATATTAAACTTTCTCAATTTTAAATTTGAATTTCCCGGGAAAATCTGAACCAATCAGAGAAAAGGATTTACGGAGAATATTATATAACCATCGCTAATCAGCTGATTACGTAACCGAAAACAAAACATATTTCGAGTTACAACCGTTTTTTGGGTTTACATGCAAAAATTAATTAATCTAAAACGTGAAAATTCTCTAACAAGGTTTTCACTTTTAAATATATCGTAAAGTTGAATGCCACTTTCTCAGCTGAATGATGATTGAATAATAGACAAATAGGGAAAATGCAGGATTTCAAGATTTTAACACTGTGTTTAAATTTTAACTCGTCGATTTCGGCGAGTTAAATATTTAACCACAGGGTTAAATATTTAACACGGTTAAAGTTCAGGTTTAAATTAAGTCAGAAGTGGCATTTAACAATGAACTTAAAATTTATGTCAAAACTTTTCGTTCTTTAGTTTTAGACTCTGGAGAATGGAATTTTTTTACCTAGTTGGATCCAGATCATGCTGCTGACCGTGCTTTAAATATACTCCTTAATAACAAGCGTTTTTAGCTATTATTACAATAATGTTTTTCAGAAAACCCTTCAGAAGGAGATAGTGGAACTACGGAAGAAGTTGTATCAAGGGAAGGGGAAGAAAACCTCCCCACTTCCCTTCTATATAGAAGACGATGACATAGATTTGGAAAGGGGTAGTAAGCTTATAAGTCCAGCAAGCGAGGATGAGATTGAGCGGTCAATATTTAAAACTAATCCTGAGCTCATTTCAGAACCTGACATTAACTTGGACACATCAGCAGCTTCTGCAGTACAGAAACTACAAGGAGATCCACAAAATAATGTGGTAAAGTGGAGACATCAAGAAGGCATTTAAAGAAGCCAAAGATATATCTCCTTTGTATTGTACGAAGACCCCGAAGACAACCTGGATGAACGGGATCAACCCAATTGAAGCAAACTGCCTGTTAGGAAAATGTCACTGTAGTAGAGAAGAATGGAAAGACCTCAGTAAAACCAGAGATCAAGAATGGCTAGAGGGGATGCAGAAATGTGTGAGGGAGATAGTGCATTTTGTATTTATTAAAGCTGTCTAGATTGTAAAAAAAACAGGATAGATAGCCCTATTTTTCAACACTCTCCCCCCCCCCC